CAGCATCACAGAACTGGGTGACAGACCCCAACTCCCTCTGCACTGAGATCCCCAGCCAATGTCCGGACTCCACCCTCTTTACAACATCACTACCCCAGCGGCAAAGTCAGATTTTCTCCTTTCTTCAATGTCCTAGTCTTTCTCCATTTATTTTAGCCTGCCTTGACCAAGATAATGAAAGAATAATCAATATCCTTAAAAAGCCCAGACAGACCCAGCCTGAACCACAGAACGGGTTAATAATTTCCTAACAATTTCCCTGCCCACTTTTAATTTGTGCTTGTTTGACTGATGAAGTGAATGATGAAATATGATGCAATAGGAAATGCTCCCAATCTTGCGGGGTAATAAAAATGTGGTGATGATGGGAAAAAGGGACTAATTGAAGCATAGAATGGAATAAAAGATTGATGCGATTGAGAGAGTGTGTGAAAAAGAGAGAAATGGGACTTGGCAAGAGTGAACAGAGTATGGTGAGAGTTGATGTGTGCCTGCCAAAGTGGCATTGAAGTGTGAGACTTCTTACGGTCCCCATTTACATTCTATAAATAAACAAGTCTAAGAATCTGGTCAGTCATTCAGTGTACAATTTCAGGTTTGAGATTTTTTGGTTTGAAAACAGACAATCCCAAAGTTTAAGATGACATAACAGCAGCCTTTCTAAATAAATAATACAAAGCAGCCCACCTTACTCAGAATGTGACAATTCCAATAATAATTGATAATAACAAAACCATTAAGTTTAATGCATCACTGACAACCTACAACTGGAATATAGTATTATAGTGACTACGCAAACCAGTGAGGTTGCAGTTTACATCAATGTCTGTCCAGAATCATAAGTTTATTAGCATAGAATGAATAGTTGTGGTATGGCCAAAAACATATTTTATGAGGTATCTCAAACCTTGACCTTTGACCACCAAATTCTAATCAGTACAACCTTGAGTGCAGGGGGATGTAATTCCCTTCAGGCATTCAAGAATGAGATGGAGGTGAGATTATAGTGATCTTGACCTCTGACCACACAATTTAATCAGTTCCTCTTAGAGTCTTTGGATGGTTGTACCAAATTTGAAAACATTCCCTCAGGTGTCACTGAGATATTGGTTTAAAGAAAATTGGAAAGAAGAACAGACAGTGTGAAAACATGATGCCTCCAGCCACAGTAGCAGCAAAGATTTGAATGGAGAAGAAAGGCCCATAGGCTATCATAACTAGGATTAAGGTATATCAATTATTCACATTTCATCTCTGCTCTTGACTGTAGCTAGAGGACCTTGACCATCGCTGCCATCTGGGAAAAATCACACTCTTTCCAATGTGCTAGGGTTATATTGCAAATACTTAGTATGTTTTGTGCTCAGCCAATGGTTCAAAACACAAATATATTACTATAACTATAAAGCTGTGAAAAGCCACAAGTCGTTATATTACAGTAGCTGTAAAGACAGGCTGAATATCTGTACAATACTATTTGAAAAAGACTGATGGTGTCAGATGAAAGACACCTCTGTTTGCAGCTTCCAAAGGAACAAACAGGTGGTGATAATATGTACTTTTACATAATCAGAGTGCATGACAGAACATGCCGTTTTTGGTCTAGTTCTCAAATATGATTTATGAATTGACATTTGCCCTGTTTTAGGGAAGACAGCAAATCAGTGCAACAAGAATGCACATAACAGGCAAACCCACTGGAGTCACAGACAACAACACAGGCAATAGTCTCAGTAATAATGATAATGGCCCATTATAAGAAAAAACGCACATTTAGTGATTATTCATAATTTGAACATTACATTGGAAAATGGTGGGTCCTGTGCTAACTGCACATCTGGGAATTGTGATGGTCATGTTTGTAGGGGGTTGACTCCTTGGATCGTCCTGCATGACTAGCAGTGGGTGAATAGCCAGTCTTCACTCCCATACCAGGAGCAGCTGAACAAGGTTTTTATACCAAAGAATGGATAACTCTGTTGGGCTTTATAGTGTCTAGATTACTTGCTGCTGCAGCCTATAATTGACTGATATGACCCAGAGAGGATGTCAGTGGGGTAATTATCCACATCAATCTCGACTGAATTCATATAATTCTTTGCCGTTCATTTCCTTCCTGCACCTATCCTTTTGACGACCCAGCTGCATTTTTGAATAAGCACTAAACATCCATAGTCCATTAAATTTGATCACATGAGTCAGACTCCAAGTTCAGGCATGGAGGCTTTTACAGGTCAGGCACAAGTGGCTCAGTGAACGGGCCCGGACCCACAACACCCATCCACCCTCCATTGCCAATCCCAACTACCACTGCCCCTATTGGTGTGTGCTTCGAAATGCACAGTACAGATTAATATTTTACTGAGTGGAAGGGAGGTAGAATATTAAATTAGCACAATAACATGACAAAAATCTCTGCAACACCATCAACACTTTAAACAGTTCAGAGCAGCTGACACAGCTTTCCCAGTATCAGTGCTGCGTAGATGGAGTAAAGGCACACTGCATTATCAGGAAGGGATGCCAAATGCAGGAGAAGCATACAAGCAGACTTGGCTGTCAGAAATATTCATGAAAACACTTATCATGAGGAAACAAATTCCTCTGCGGTAAGGCAACTCCAATGCCATGTTATAATCAGCTGGTGTTGACACAATTACTTATAAATTCCACAGACATTATGTTAATTGCTAAAACTTTAGATAATCAAGTAACTCATTTATTATTGTGTCCTGTTCAATTGCCAAACATTTGCTGGTTGAAGAATGTCAGATTTGTAGATTTTCTCTTTTTTCTTTTATTGTGCATTGAATGTTATGAGTGGAATAATCTGAAGACTTTGGGCTCTATTAAGTTGTGATGGACATTTTGGCATTGTAAGTGATATAATGACTAAATGGGCAATTGCTGAATCCTTAACATCATCAAACACATGATGCGTATTACACATGATGATAAATTAGTTATGGCCAAACTAGTTGCAGACATATTATCAATAACTGGCCACAGATGCAATTTTTCCTTAAACTGGGTAACACTGAAGACAGCCCTAGATGTACCTGACCTACACCGGCGGACATGTATTTGAGCACACGGCAGACAGCCTGTTTGCCCCCACTGAAAGCCATTGTTTACTATTAGTGATGTCACCAGCACCACTTCCCGGGAGGGCCTCAGAGGGGGGGTGGGAAAAACGTGGAGATCAGCAGAACTCCATGACAAAGAGCTAACAGCACACTAAACTGACCCATCGGCTGGCAGCCCAACCCCAATGGATGATGGGTGCACACTCCCACCATAGTCAACTGAGTGAAAACAAAATGAACAACACATCGCACTGAGGGGAAAAGAAAGAAAGAAAAAAATGACAGGAAAATACACACATAAGAGAGGGGGGAGACATACAACACCACCAATCAATAAAGTCATTACCATCATCAGCCATGGAGGAAAAAACCCTCAAAACTGCTGCATCTTAAACAGGGATTCTCATCAGAGGCCAAATCATTTTTGTGCAAAGAGATACAGGGATACTCCAACCACCCCCGTCCTAGATGTACCTGACCTACAATCACAAATTGTTGTCACACTGTTTTGCATGATTTTGTTTTGCATTAACATAATGCAGTGAATCACGCTCTTCTAGTAGAGTAACGACAGCGACTTTTAGGACACAGCTTGTGAAACCAAAACAAACTGATGAACAAACCATTAAAATATCAACCCATATATTTAACAGAGGACGACTAGTCAAATTTGTGCAGCACTGTCTGTCTCAAGCCTTCAAGTGCAGCAGCAAATCTGGATATGAAACACACTGCACTGTCGAACAGCAGAAGCATCAGAGATTAGGTTCATCATGCCATCTGCAGTATTTCTGTGCTTACCATCTGGTGTTTAAATTTTATTACACGTATACTACAGTGAATAGTACTGGTTTAGTTAATTCTACTTGTGAAAGCAAGTAAAGAAGTCATATCTATAGCAGTTAGGTTAATACTGCCACTCTCAGTGATGTGGTAATATGAATAAATAAAAATGAACCAAACAAAACAATAAACAGCACCAAAATAGCAGTTGGTGCCAGCCACTGTTGCCATCGTTGCAGTGGGGGAAGGGGGTCATGTAAAATGGGGTTGGGCTTTAGCCTCTATAGCTCAAGCCATGAGGATATTTCATTTCCCAACCTGTGCAATAAACCTCCTCCGGTCAAAATCTACAGAGCACATTATTGACCTGCTCTCCTCGCAGGTAATGTATGTGTGATCCAGGAAGACATGATGTGATGCAACAGCTTCATTTCTGTTTCACTGGCCAGTTAAAAAAAAAAAAAATTCTCCAGGTACAAAATCGAAGAGGAGTTTCTTCCTGCAATGATGCAAAGAATATTTATAAACACAATAATGCAATGGATTAGGCTGCTGCAGACTGATCCCCCTCTATTATTTAGCGTGTTCCTCCGGCCATGACACATCATTCAGACTGTTGGTCTAAGCAACAGTGTCCAACCTTTTGGCTTTAAGTTGACAGATGCCTTAGATAAGGTGATTACTTGACTGGGCTGAGGTTTTGTCTAAATCCAGAGATTGTTTTAATAGGTGTAGGAGAAGGTTAGCTTTAGAGGCTTAGAGGTAATAGTGATGTCGAAAGGTGTACAGGGATCACAGATGACTGTTGCAGGGCACAAAAACAGTGGCAGGCCTTCTGGACAAGTGGTACTTTACTGTCTGCAGAGAACTCCATTACCCATGCTGAGATCAGCAGAGTTTCCATTAAGATATGTCCTTCCCTTAGTAATTAGATTGTGTAACACAGTTATTACTGAGCACATCACCACAAAGAAAAGCTTTACTTTAACCAAGCAAAACACAGTTTGAAACACACAGCATCATAACCAAATAAAAAACTTTAACCAAATCTGACACTCTGAAGTCTCCATTTGTGCATGTGATGTGCAGACAGTGCATTAATAGGATATAACGAGTCAGTGTGTGGTATACCTGTCAGTGAAGCTGGACTGTGTGTCACTCATTGGGCTTCCGGTTCTAGATTTGCAGCAAATTATATCCGATTAACATTTTCCAGAGTGTGATGAGGCGATTTCCTGGAGCGTCCTTCCCTGGCATTCGTCTGAAGTAGGCAGGGATTTGGGGGAAATAGACGGTGCTGATAATAAATTAATCTGAGATAACTGTTGTTGTCGTTGCAGGGCACGTCCAAATACTGTCACTACCGACACGGTATCTTTCGATCAATACTCCTTGGCAAAAATCAGATAGCAGAGAGGAATCGACGGTGCAGAGCTTCGAACATGAATCGGGGCCTCTGTCGTATTAGCTGTGCAGTCAGATGGTATCATACCCCGTCATCAAACTATATTTTAGCAACAACAATGAAAACACTGCTCCGGCTGGCACAAGTTGTCGTGCATGTATGAACTCCTCGTGTGATCCTTCGCCTCCACGTCCCAAAATTTCCGCCGATGTGAAACGTGTAAACAATCTGTATTCCCAATGAAACAGACACCCCGGCCCTGCGGTGTAGCCCCGTCTGCCACCACCCCTGCTCGGGCTGAATGGCCTCGGTGCCTAAATGATCTCCGAAGATGCTGGAAATTCCTCCAGTCCCATTTGGTGTTCCTTGCTCCCGGAGATCTGCTGCGGCTGCGGGGACGAGTTTCCCTCGACCATGAGACTCGCTCGACACCCGAGAAGAAAACGACCCGTTTTACAAATGAGCAAACACACAAGCGGCAGCTAATCTCACACAATGCGCGAGACGCTGGATTCAAAACACAAAAGCGATTAAATTGTGGATTTAAAAATAAATGTAATAAAAAAAGCACATTAGCTTCTGTGAAAGCGTTTCTCACGGTGCGCTGGCTCGGGCTGAGTCTCGCCAGCTAGCAGCTAACAAAACAGACGAGCTCTTTCAGCAGAAAACTTTGCTTCGTGTGCAAACTAAGCAAACTCCCGTTCACAACAATGAACCGGCCGACCAACGAAACATACATATACACAACCGCGCATCGATGTTCACCGGCTTCCGACGTGTCCCCGCGTTGTGTCCTTCGGAAAAACGCGTCTCCGTGAGCGGAGAAGAGTCCAGTGGAGTCGGTTAGCACCACGGCGCAGCGCTCCTTGACTCCATGTTTCCAGAATTCAGTCGTTTCTCGGCAGAATTCCAGTGGATGGAAAGCAGGCTAGCTCTGCGGCCAGCTAACGGGACAGAAAGTAACAGCCGGTCCTCCGAGAACAACGACGGAAAAACACCGCACAGGAGGCTTACAACTCCTGGTGAACGACACGCGCAGGTTTTTCTAACGCCGGGCGCTATTTGTACAAGAATACAAGTTAATCAAAGGTACGAAAAATCCCACTTTCCGCCGCTAGCAACGCCCTAGCCTGCTAGCTGCTGGTGTCCTGTAGCGCTTCCACTAACCACTTCCGCCGGGAGATGACAAAACTCAGTTTGTTCCAGCTGAATGTTTCAGTGTTGCACGAAACATAACAACACAATCAAAGTACAACACAACAACAGCAACGCTGTTAGCAGCCCGACTGCACACTTACACTCTTATTACTGTAGGTCTTCTATTTATTTCATGTACACATTTATATAATAGGCTGTAAATAAAAGGTGAGGCAGTGCTAGCAGATACGATTTATACCAATAGTCCATCAATCGGTGAGTTGGGTTGACAGGAAAT